TTATGGGCCAATTCCCGTGGGGTCCGTTTCTTCGCACACGGCAAGATGAGTGCGGCCACGTTGAGATCAAAACACGCACTGGCCTCCAAGAGCTACACTCGATCTGGCAAAAAGATGTACACTGGAAATCGTGCAAACTTAAAGGCTAGCCAGCTCCTTGACATTTGATTTGCATATGCATGCATGCATGCATGCAGTTCACATGTATGAAATGCATGCTTCCCAAAGCCATCCGAAGCTATCCCAGGCAATACCCAGTTCGCTTCGGCCTGCGTCTCGTGCGGGCGTTCGACACCCTCATCCATGAGCGTGAAGACCCGACCTTTCTCAGCCAGGCGTGTGCGATACTTGGGCGGGCTGCGGGTATCGGGTCGGGCTTGGTGTTCAACCCTCTACTTGGTCGGGGGGGTGACAGTGCGGATTCATGCATGTGTGGCGCCTTTGCGTGCCTATGCTGGTTTAGGCCGAGATTGGTGATGAAGATCTAGATCCCATGGCCCAGATCTACAGCTCAAGCGAGCTATTTCGTGATTTGTGGCATGATGCGCAAATGCCGGAGGTTTACAGGTACCTTCGCAATTCAAGGGATGTACAGCTTGCAAAATGTTGGGAAGGCATGCCTGGCATTTAAGATGCACGCGTGGAGTATGTGTCGAACACGTACTTATCATTCTGATTGGGGGATCGCATCGGGTGAGCTGCAAAATCTGCATGTGTTTATCCGATTGTGTGGCGTACAACACAGTTGAGGCTGCATTTTGAATTTCGGTCGGAGTGACAGGAAATTTGTAGAGTGGCGTAAAAACCCATAATAGTGGCGTAACATTCCATAGGGAATCTATGGCCAATTATGTATACTTTCATTATCAGGAATATAGCCTTTTTTCTCCGATTCGGGGTCCGAAATGTGTCGTTTGAGCCCTCATGATGAAAATGTGCCACTTTCCGATGTGATTGATCCCACACATGCAGCTGGCTTAAGTCTAGGATCGGGCCGTGTGCACATGTCTTGCCAAACCCTTTTGTGCGGGAACAGCTTCATCATGGAGCAATTCGCCGAACATAGCGAATCTGTGCCTACGGCCTTGAAACAAAAGATCCAGGAGTCTTGCTCGCATTGTTACATATGCATGTGTTTCCCGATTTACATTTCTTATATTTATCATGTCCGTGCAGCATGTGCAATTGACTGAGGCTGCGCAAGCCAAGCTGGCTGCACTGCGTGCCGCTAAGAGCGGCGTGATCACACCCAGCACCACTGAGCCTTCCAGCCCTGCAGACACACGTTCTGGTCCTGTTAGCCCTGCTGTCAGCCCCATGAACCAAACTGGCCCAACAAGCCTGCAGGCATGTCAGCCCCACAAACCATGTCAGCCCCACCCTCCAGACCGGCCCAACAAGCCAGAAGGTTTTTGCCACTGTGTCCGTGGATAGCCAATCCCAGGAAGGAACTGTGCCCGCCGACCTTCAGGCAATGCAGCCTCCAGCTTTGGTTCCACCTTCGCCCACCAAGTCAATCAAGTTGCCCACAAACCCGGCCAGCACACCGCCCAGGGAGTTCTTGTCCAAAAAGGTGCCTGTCGAGATCTCCACCGCTACCTTGCTTGGGTCTGACGCTGGCAACGAGAGCTCGACTTCATGGGTGGACTCGGGGACAGAGAAGGACTCTCGTCTGCATTGAGCGGTGTTTGCTTGACAATCGCATGACAATCCGAAATCGGGATGTATCATGTGGTCGGCTTGAGCGCATGCATTGAACGTGAGATCAACCATGCACATGCAGTGCAATGGCCACATTTTATGGTTTGATCGGCAAGTTGTCATGTATTTGCACGCATTGCCATTTGGCTAGAACTTGTGCGCTCGAGATCGGTCAGTGAGTGCAGAGATGGGGCCTCGTGTCGTACAGCCTCGTCCAAAGCACATGATGCATCAGCCCAAGATGATTCCGCACCCGCCCAAGTTCCCGCCCCCGACACACCTTCGTGACGGCCAGTCAGCTGTGGATGACGTCAAGCAGACATATTTTCGGCTGCGGGCACGTCGCTTGAAACGGGAAGAGCAAGAACGATCTTCTGGCCGTGGGCTTAGCCCTGAGACGCTGGCCTGGGTTGAGGGCGAGGGCGAACGGGCGTTGAAGACGATTCTTCCCATGGAGATGGAGGAGGTCGAGGTGGAGGAGACAGATGCGGAGCAATCGGAGCAGGCGGCGGCGGCGGCGGGTGCTCAGCCCATGGAGGTGTCGGTTGAGCCCATGGATGAGCTGGCGCCGGATGGCAACCAGCCCACAGAGAAGGCGTCAGATGTGCACATCACGGAGGACACAGCCTTGGATGCGCAGCCCATGGAGGCGGCGGCGGGCAATCAGCCCATGGAGGGCAATCAGCCCATGGAGGTGGTGGCAGGCAAGCAGCCCGTGGAGGCTGTGCTGGGCAATCAGCCCATGGAGGTGGTGCTGGGCACACAGCCCACGGAGATGGTGGCAGGCAAGCAGCCTGTGGTGGTGGTGGAGGCGGCGATCAAGCAGCCCGTCGCGGTGGCGGAGGTGGTGGCGGGGATGGCGAGCAAGCAGCCCGTGGCGGTGGCGGAGATGGCGATCAAGCAGCCCGTGGCGGTGGCGGAGGTGGTGGCGAGCAAGCAGCCCGTGGCGGTGGCGGAGATGGCGATCAAGCAGCCCGTGGCGGTGGCGGAGGTGGTGGCGAGCAAGCAGCCCGTGGCGGTGGCGATGGGCAAGCAGCCCGTGGAGGTGGCGATGGGCAAGCCTAAGCAGGTCGCGGCGGCGAAGCCCATGGAGGGGGTGCACATGGAGCCGGCGGGCAACAAAGAGCCCAAGAAGGCGACAAAGAGGAAGGCCACGGCGGAGGCGGAGATCGCGACCATCCCGAAGAGTGAGGTGAAGAAGGCCCAGGAGAAGGAGATCAAGACGATTACGAAGAAGGAGAAGAAGGAGAAGAAGGAGAAGAAGGAGAAGAAGGAGAAGAAGAAGGAGATCAAGAAGGATGATATCAAGAAGGATGAGCTCAAGAAGGATGAGATCAAGAAGGATGAGATCAAGAAGGATGAGATCAAGAAGGATGAGATCAAGAAGAAGAAGAAGGATCTCGGGAGCGAAGCGGGCAAGGCCAAAGGCGGCAAGAAGAGCCGCAGCAAGCACGCGGAGAAAGAGGAGCTGACTCCATTGGACAGCCCAACAAGTTCAATGGGCGAAGATGATGAGTATGTGCCCACATCCGATGTGTCGCCTGTGCCACAGAGAGTGGCCAATCAGGAGCGGCCGCCGAGCACTGGTCAGCAGGGCACTCCCATCAGTGCCCAGGAGCCGCCGCTGACCACGGCCCCCTTGCCTGGGGGGGCGTTGGGTCCCTTCCCTGGGCTTCGTACGCTTGACCTGTTGCAGACAATCTACAACCAGAACATGATGCAGCTGCACGCGATCGCGGGGTTGATGGATCGCATCCGAGCAGATGGCTTTCTGCTGTAGGGCTTTTCCACGCACTAGACGTGCAACCATGCACTCGTGATGTGGGGCAGGCGTGCACATGTTCCTAGATCGCAGAGTTGAGCCACACATGCAAAGCAATACCTGCAGGTACCGAAACAAAGATTCCGGGATCGCCAGTTGCTGCTTTTTGTTTGCATGCATTAAACTTACCCCAACAACCAGCAACCTAGGTTAACTTCAAAAAGCAGCAACTTGGCTATCTATAGGTTGTGCATGCATATGTTTCATGGAGACCAATCATGAACTGCGATCCAGGCGTGGGCAACTGACAGCACATGTCACTGCACGAGCGGTGGCCGCCTTTTACACGGAATATGGCACCAAATGATGTGCCATAACGCGCCGCATTGCAATCATGCATCGGCAAAAGCCACGCGAGAATGACACATGCCCGCCTGCCCCCCCCCCCATCCCATCCCGTCCACCTATAATTGGGTATACCAAATGTTTCAGGCGCCCCTCTTACGGGCATTTGTGGCAGACATGAGGTCGGACACACAATTGGACCCCTGTTTACGTCAGTGACGCAAAGTCCTTTGCAGTCCCAAAGAAACGATCGAACTGATATTGATCGAAGTCCCTTTGCCAGAATCGCATATGTCGGCCTGTCAGCGAGTGATGTCCCGGGGTTGATTCTACACTATAGCATCACATGTTGCAGCATAGTTTCCATGCCCGATTTAGGAAAGTCCATTCATCGAGTACACATGCATTCGATTGGAACAATCTTTACCGATGTTATTTGAGATAAATGCCTCCTACCGGATGGGTCAATTTCTCGCCTTGCGTGCCACGCCGAGGAAGCTGCATCGTCTGATGCAAAGATGGAGGAGGACACTCCGGTGCCGGCGATTCCTGAGCGGCCCGATGCAACCACCACGGATGAGGAGAAGGATCGATCGCTCGAGCTGCACAAATTATATATATATATATGGTGTGCACATGTGCAATTGTAGAATTCATGCAATATCATATGTGCGCAATATATTGCGGCGTGGGATTCATTTGCATGTATGCCCACATGCCCTGAGGACGTGTCCAAGTTAACCTTAGCACTTGAGTGTCAATTGTTTTTGCGGTATTCTTTCCACCGGACTTGAAGGTGCCCCGCAAAGATGGACTGAGTAAATTGGATATTCACGGGTGAACTGTGCAAATCATAGTTTACACTGGGCCTCAACCCCTGCATTATTCCACTGTGTAGGCCTTATCCCCCTCCTCAACCCCTAGTTGTATGATGGCTGACACACGCATGCGGGCATGACTTTGGATAGAAATTAACGTTTCAATCTTCTGTCCCCAACATGTCCAAGTGCAAGGTTTGAAGGATGATTAACATGCATGTGCTATAGTGTTTTTTCCTCCAGCATGCATTCACTTGGAATAGAAACTCGATCGGCAGAAGCTAACTTGATCGATCCATTGGTTACCCCTGGACACATACATGTGGCCCACGCAGGACAAAAAGCGCAAGGCGTTTGACGCCCAATTGAGACGGATGTGCACGCCCAAGCTCCGCACTGGCCGGGCGGATGTCTCAAAGGAGGTGATGGAGAAGTGGAAGCTGGGGGGGGAGAGCCGCCGACAGTTGTTGGACACTTTGGTGGAGGTGAAGGGGGACAAAGAAGCTTTCAAGAAATCCATCGAAGTTTGCTTCACCAAGGGCCGCAAGAACACCATCAAAATTTCTGCGGGCTGGTATTCGAAGGACCGCATGAAGACCGTGCTTGGATTTGGGAAGTAGCGCCCTAAGATCCCGTCCTTGACATGTATTAGGTGCACATGTTTTCTAGGTGTGAGGCACTTTGCTCAAACGAGTGTGTGTGGGTGCATGCGATTGAAACTGCATGCATATAAATGCAATTCACCGAATGGGAATTTTGACACATGTTTGGCGACTTTGTACGGCTTGCGCGTCTCCAAGGCAAAGAATCAAGGCTGTTGTGAACTACTGCAGCGTTCCGGAGAGGAAGAAGATGCTCACGCGGCTTCTTGGCGCCCACCGGTGTACCTCATAGCCTAGTGCATGGGTTGGAACATATATTCATCAGACAAATGATTCAGCTGGTACACGGCATGGTGGTCATGCATTTTCAAAAAACACTCACCCACACTATAGGTATGACAAGTATGAGAAGAATGTGCGGGAGTACTGGGTGCAGGAGCAGGAGTCCGGATCTTTTGAGACCACCGATGAGCAGCAGCTCCGTGACACTACCGTGATGGCCCAGAATGCTGAGACCAATCAGGTGAACTTGGCGCCCCCGCCCTCCGGCCCGTTGTCGCCGCCAGCGCAGTCCTCGGACGACGAGCAAAGCATGAGTGAGGATGAGGAGTCCGGCCGCCCCAAGAAAAAGACAAAGAAGGAAAAGACAGGGGCTGATTTCGATCAAGAGCACCGCCTTGAGGCCACATGTGTGTGTTTTCCCACCTGTCCGATCCAATTCACACACAATTACAGATCGATCGATCCCTTATCCCCCGCCCTGCCGTAGAATTCCCATGCAAAAAAAACTATATATAGCTTAGGTTGGTTGCAGGTTCCAGTCCTCTTCGGCGCTTTTCCAAACGTATTTCAACAGCAGGCATTAGCTCATGCACTTTTGATTATTTGTACATGCATGGTGCCACGTTCTGAAAAGCCCCCCAAACACGAACCAAATTTGGGTTAATTGGGGAAATCTTAAGATCGGTGTTTCAGTATCGCACGGCTTCCTGGACCTGAAATTTTGGGCTCATTGATGTGCCCCCCCCCCATTTTTTGGCTCGGCTCATCCCCGCAGTGCGCCCCGTTCAGGCGGCGGAGAACATCACACTTGTCATGGACCAGGTGCTGAAGCAGCAGGCGAAGCTTGAGGCCACGGCTGGCAAGCTGGCGTTGGTGGAGACCGACTCAGCAAAGAGGCGCCGTGGGGTCCTGAAATTGCAGCGTATTGGTGTGTTGGTGGGGAGCGAATCATTTGTGCATCATTGGGTTTTAAAGGGCTTGGACGAGTACAGCCTGCATTAATCCCAAATTTGCGAATGTTGCACCTGTTTGTCAGGGCTCTGAAGGGCTTGGACGTGCACATTGCCAAGCTCATGGAGGGCCATGACGAGCTAGCAAACTACAAAGCTCAAATAGATGCTCATGGGCATCTTTCTGATGAGTGACTTAGTCAGCATCCCAAGTGCGAGCTCTGCCATGACATGTGCGTTCACGGTCACAGGGATTCTATGGGGTGCTTCTCCCAACAGGACACGTGTTTGCCATACACAGACACACATAGCCACATCAAAGAATGACCATATGGGTGAACCCAATGTAGATGACTGCAGAGTGGCTTTATGTACGATGTTTACCTTGAAATAAGGTTCGCAAAGAAGTACGAGGGGATCGTGAAAGATGTGGAGATCAGGCGCCGCATTCATTGGACACGTCATGCTGTGTTGCCTTGATGCTCAACTGATGTGTGCGGGTGTCCCATTTGGCAGGGCCTCCCTTGCCCAAACGGAAGAGAACAAGCTGAAAAAGCAACTTGGTCGACGGATGATAGATTTGCATAAATATTATTATACATATAAAAGACATGATACTGCAAATACTCTTTAAACGACAATGTATGTCACACATAAATAAACCATATAATGCCTACATATATACATCTATGCATATATCGATTATAGTTCCGTATATATATATATATATATGCACACCAAATGTTATCATTATCATTCTAATATAACGCCTAATAGAGCACATGTACAACATAACAATACAATAGCATAATCAATAATACCTCCAGCAAAACAATAACTTGCATGCAGCTACAAAGTAATAGAATATATATATATATATGTATATTGAACATTCTGAATATCACATATGACACATGTGCAACTTACACTAGTGCTGTAGTTTAAAGTATCACATATAGTATATCTATATATATAATATATATATATATATAGAACTATAATAATCTATATATACATATAGTATACTGTATGTATAGTTTATATATATATATATTAAATATGGATATAATATATATATATATATAATTTATACAATATGACAAATAAAGTAATATATATATATATATAATATAGAATATATATATAATATATATACATTAATTATTTTTATTGTATTATAGAATAGAATATATATATATATAGATATATAGTATATATATATATATATTCTGTTCTATATACATATTATGTTATATATATATATATTATCTTTCATGTATTATAATATATTATACCACACTTTAGCATGGCACATACCAAACAATGTGAACTCGTGATATGCAAAACTATAGGCTATGATATGGTCTGCACATGTATGCATATCGTGAATATGTATAGTCCTACATATATGTATACTATATAATTTCGTATCAACTATAACTTCTCCGTGAAACAAATGATATAATATAATTATATATGTATAATGTGATAAGGCTATACATATTCATGCATGCATAATATATTGCGCTGCGCCGTACCTCGTCCCATCTCAGGACAATCTTGAGGAACACCAAGAAGGACAATGAGAAGCCGAAGCCGAAGGAGCATGAGGAGGGCAAGGACTCAAGTGCATCTCAGAAAAAGAAAACAAAGAAGGCAAAGAAGGGAAGTGAGGAAAAGAAGCAAAACAAAACACAGGGAAATCAGGAAAAGAAGGAAAAGAAGGAAAAGAAGGGAAAGAAGGGAGATAGGGGAAAGAAGCGTGCAGCTGTGGAAGGCCATGCGTGTTTTGGAATGTGTGCACGAACGTGTTCTGTTGCTACGTGGTTCATGGCCCCCTGCCCCCCTGCCCGCCCTTGCTCACCCTTGACCGCAGGTCCTCGAGCGGAGAAGTCCGGCAAGGCAGCCTGAAGGATGCCACAGATTAGCGGTTGCCACATGAATCTGCAAAAGGTAACACTACAATCACTACAATTGCGATGAGCAAAAATGCAAGTTAACACATATATACACATACATGGGCTTTTCAGGCATGTGCCTCAAAAAAAACGCAAATACAGCTGAGTTGACAAGAAGCTGCATATGGCAACCATGGGTTTGTGTCAAAGGCCCATCGAGGGTGAAAAGCCCGTGGTATGGGTCAATGCGACACATGGCATGTCCATCATGTCGTCGGGATATGTCGGGATTGCCACTGAATTCCTTGAACAGCAAAATAAAGTTAAACCATGTTTCTGAAACATGCATATGGTTTCCCTGCAACAGTCCATATGTTGCTGTGCGGCGATCCAGACATGGGTTTCTAGGGGCAACGTGCGGCATGTCCAACATGCCACCTACTGTAGATGGCAAGGGTTGCAGTTGCTTTTCCACATGTGCAGAAACACAAACAGCAAGCGACTACTCTGTGGAAAAGCATAGGCAATCCAGTCAACGGCAACGCGGCAGGGGGCCAGGGTGACAGCACCCACACATGGCATAGGCTTGATCGCAAGTGTGTGAAAATGACTGCAGCTAGTGTATGCTAATGTGTGTGAGCTTCAGGCAGTTTGATGGCAATCTGACCCAGCACCACGCCTTGCGCAGGTGCTTCCTCGTCCAGCTTGCCGGCGGCGAATCATCGCAAGACTGGGCCTGCCGGGCGGGCAATTGCGCGGGCAGTTGGAACCAGCGTGCCCCGACTCGAATTGCATGTTTTCACGTGCCGGCATTGAAGTGCCAAACAGGAGCTGTTGAGGTTCTGTGTACGTTGGATGGGGTGTTGGCTTTTACGTATGTTTAGATATTCTATGTGTTACGCATCATGTTTTGCATGAATACCATGTGGCCAACCTGAGGTAAGCGAACTTCAGGCATGCAGCCTTGCTGCGGCGTTTTGGGAAGAATCCGCTGAGATTGGTGAGCCGCAGTCCATGCCTAGTGGAGAGCTCCTGGAGGGTATGAACCGGCTTCATCGCACAGGGCACACCAGTCGTTTACCTGGGTTGCTTGTTGAGCATGGGCTCCAAGTTGACGTCAAGCCAACTTTCCACGACATTGGATTGAAGTTAGACCACCCGGTGCTCTCCATTTCAAATTACATCACTGCGCTTTCTAGTGCAGGGAAGCTCGACATCTTGTTTCAGGGGCATGACTTCACGAGCTATTTGTCATTTTGGACCCGGTACAGGACAATGAAGCCCGAGCATCCTGTGTTTAGTGGTGTGTTTGGCCAGGATCTATCGCATTGCATACCATGCTTTCTGCATGCTGATGAAGGGACATCGCAAAAAAAGCGACAGATCTTGGTTCTGCAGATTCAGCCGGTGATGGGCAGGGGAAGTTCTCGCAGCGCAGAGCTGAATTTCTGTGGCAGTACGTATTTAACGCGGATGCTCTGGAGTGTGATGCAGGCAAGGCTGTATTCTAAATCGAAGCTTCCACTTTATGCCCTTCTTCGGGCTCTGGCCCAGCAATGCACAGATGCATTTAACGATGGCCTTGACATCACACTCAACGAGCGACCTCACCGGATACGATTGGTTGTTTTAGGGCTGAAGGGAGACTGGCCTGCTCTGACCAAGCTAGGAAGGTTGACGAGGCACCACCTTCGTGATGCCCCAATGTCCGAGAATCCACCAGGCATATGTCACCTATGTTTGGCTGGGCAGTCTCTCTTTCCGTGGCATGTGTGCAGCCCGGATGCAGCGTGGCTGGAAACGATTGGTGCTGGCCCGCTCCCGTGGACGATTCCTTCCCCATTGGCGGACATTCCACAAGACCAATCTGACCGTGCGTCTTTTTATTTCATCGACCTATTTCACACTGTGCACAAGGGCGTGTTTTGTGACCTTGCAGGGTCCGCGATTGTGTCTTAGTTGCAATTGTTTGGCACGAAAGATCGATTCAAGCTTAGCTAGGATATGTTTGTGAGTACAACTCAAGTTGTCCAACAAACACGCAGGTAAGCCTGGTGGAAGAGCTTGAAGCTTACGGGGGTGGGAGTGCTCTGGCTCGTCTGGGCGCTGTCTTTGAGGAGCTGCAGGCGTATTGCAGCATGCATAAGCTGGTCCTTCACATGAACGCGTTGACCAGGTCTCTTCTTGGCTGGCACAACAGTTCGGATTACCCCTCAGGGATGCTCTTCCTAAAATAGTATACTTTCTGCATGTGTTCTGTAACACGTGTTGTTTTTGTTCGATCAATCGATAATGGATTTGCATGATGTGGGCCAACCAGAGGTCTTGGTTCAAGGGAGCAGACACAACAATCGTGTGCAAATGACTGGAGTGGAAAATACCGCGGTTTGAAGCTGATTACGAAGGTGATCATGATGAACATCTTTCACAGCTTTCCAGAGCTTTGGTTGAGGGCAACAGCTTCATGTCTGCGTTGTACCATCAGCCTTTGTGGTTGAAACCGTCAGACGCCCTTCGCATCTCCAATCACGGGCTTGCATTTCTATCGCTGTACAGCTCTCTGGCAGGGTACGCTTTTCAGCAAGGTTGGCCCCGATACAAACTTCAGCCAAAATTTCATATGCTAGCGCACATTCTATACTCATTGCGGGATGCAGGCTCCAAGAACATCGAGACCCTCAATCCAATCGCATTTAGTTGCCAACTCGATGAAGACTTCATAGGGCGAGTCGCTACACTATCAAGAACGGTGAGTTCAAGAACAATCCATGAACGTACCATCCAGAGATTTCTGCTGAACGTTGCGTCTAGATGGTAGCTGCGACTAGTCCGACATGCCGAGCCTGGTAGAAAAGGTCCGTACGAGTCCGGGGAAGCTGTGAGCCAAACGAGCGTCGTGGAATCGGTCACTTTTGCCTTGGTGACACAAATAAGCATCACAGTGATCAGTGCATGTTTAAAAGCATATCCCAGGCTAACCAGGCACTAAACCAACCAGAAAGCTAAAAGGCTAAAAAGCCGAAAAAGCCAAAAAAAGCCAAAAAGCTCAGGAACCGGATGGCTGGGAACCCGCAAGCAAGGAATCCCTAAGGGGCCCAAAAATGGATGTGATCCGGAAGCACTGTGACTCGCGAGTGCCAACGGATACATGAAACACTCATGATCTTTCGCAGAAAATGACAAGTACCCCATAGGAGGTCATTGAAGATTTCTAACACTCACTCTCAAAGAGGCATTGAAGGTTCAAAACATTCAGCTTACAAACACGGGATGCATCCTTTTCGATCCTTTCCCTTGGTTTCACCTTCACCCTTTTCGGTGCAATGGTCACTTGCCACATCCTATGCGTCATGGCGACGCTTCCATCCCTCCGTCCTCGGTCCACGGGACGCGCGTCAGTAGCTCATCGGCCTTCGATGCAGTCGCAGCCGCATCGAGGTATGCCAAAAAGACCCATGGCCAAAAACACGCTACTCTCCTTGGGGGAAAAAAAAACACGCTGATCTCCCCCAAACACATGCTATGCTCTCCAACAAAAATCGGGATCAGCTACTGATCTCCCCAAAACACACCCTACTCTCCGGGGGAGAAAAAAAAAAGAACCACAAAAACATGAAGATCCTCCATGGAACACTGGGGGGAAAAAAACATGCTGATCTCCCCGAAACACGTGCTACAAGATCCATGGAACACTCAGCTGCTGAGCAGTATCTGCTGTTCTCTCCCATAGGACCTCGAACCCCACACCTCGCCCAGCTGCTGCTGCGCTTCCTCCAGGCAGCCCAGGTGCACCAGACGCACCCCTGGCGTCGATTGGTTTGCCGCCGGCTTTCGAGGAGTTGGTTCTGTCTTTGTGTGGTTTGGGTTGGTTCTGTCATAGGTGTGTTGCTTGGTTGTTGCTTGAAAATTGGCTGCCGGTTGCTCATCTTTGTTGGCTGTGAGATCTGGTGTTGGTTCTACTTTGTGCGCATCCAAAAGGCCGCTTTCGTAGCATTGCCAGGAATTGCAGCGACTGTGTCACTTGCTAAATAGCTGCTCGCAGCACCCGCTTGGGCCAAACTTGAAAAAAATGACAAGAGTGGCTTCTTGTGACTTTTTGGTGCTTGACCCATGTCGAGTGGAACGGTGCTCCAAGCAGGCGAAGTGATGATACCAATCACACAAACTCGTGATTCATTACCTCCATTTACTCCAAAGTCTCCAGGACAAACATGGGACATATATGCCCAATAGTGAAAATTGATTCTCTTTAAACCCAGAAAGAAAAAGAAAAAAAGCGCCAAGTCCTCAGCCGTGCGCGCCTTTGGTGATGCTGCGGTCTACGGAGGCTTCCAGGCTGTCCTGCGGCAACGCCCGGCTACATAGGTACCCCAAATAGGTACCCAAAATGGAACCCTGTTTTTTTTTTTTTAAGATGGACTAAAACCTGCGGTCCAAATCCTGGTGGTTTCACTTTGACAGAAATTCCCAGGACTCAACCGAGGGCTTCGGGCTAGCAAGCCTTTCAGGAAACAAGGCTAGCCAAGGCCTTAATTGCTCGCCAGCACATTCTTTCCAACATGCTCATGAAAGTGGTGAATGGGAACTTCCTTAAAGGAAAGTGGTCTTCCAAAACCCTCCCGTGATCGGAGTTCAAACACGAAAGGACACCCACCATGTTGGGGTTTCTCCGTAGGGAATCACGCGAATTCAGCCACAGCATCTGTGCGACAACCTTCAACCTGGCTGGGATGCAGCCAGACCATTACAACCCGGGTTCTCCGCTGCCCACTTCGGTCTACGCAGCGGATGTGGGGGGGGGGGGGGATCCATGTAGAAACATATGGCTGTGGCTCAAAAAACCGGTACCAAAATGGAACCCTGGTAAGTGGGAAATATGGACCAAAACCTGCGGTTTGCCCCTCCTGTTTAATTTTGAGCCACACTCATATCAATCTTGCTTCCGCATTGCTTTGAGTGACTTGGGCAGATTTGCACAGCTGAAGCTGAGATGCCCTCAAACCCAAGGCTTGGTGTCCCCCCCCCCCCCGCCCCGGGCAGGATTCCACGCCCCAACGACCACTCCCCAGCTCGCGACAAAAGAAGCCTAGGTCTTCTCGCAGCTTTTCAACAAGCTTGCGTATTTCCTAACATGGGCGACCCCTTAAAATGGTTGAGTTATCAAAGAGGGGGGTGTCATTCTCTAACCCTCCCCGTTTTTACTCGTGGTCACGTTTTACCCCTGCCCTTCTCCGCAATTCACATGTTTTGTGCCACCCAGTTTACAAAAACTCACATTTCAACCCACATTTGGCCACACCTCTCTTTTTGAGCGGAGCCAAGATTTTCACCAATGTCTTCCCTGGCTCCCCCCAAAAACGGGAGGCTCGCTGCAAACCTGCGAAGTTCCACCGTCCATCGCCCGCCTCCCGCGGCAAGGGGCAGCTCTGAGTATGGCCCAAGCCCCAAACCTCGCCAGTCGATTCGGGCGATTCGCTCGGGTTTGCCACCCAGCCATCGAGCCATCGAGACCAAAACCGGAGTCGAGAAACCAGCGGCGTGAACAAAACCCCAGCCAGTTTCAGACTCAAAACCTGTATGGCCATCGAGACCGGACCAAAACTGAGTCATAGTCAGAACCCGGTCTACCCAGAACCATGCGAAGGAAGGCCGCCGCAGCTATTTAGGGTTGGGAGTGTCCCTTACTAACTTTCATCTACCCAGGTGTTGATTGTGGCTCAACTGGAGTCGAGAAACCAGTGCGGCGATTCCAACCGCTCGGACCCATAGAACCCGTGAATAAGATCCCAACCAGTTTCAGACTCAAAACCAGTGGTGCCAGACATAAATGTGGCTTGGCTGAGATCGGACGACCATTTGGGATTGGCTGTGCTCCTTCACCCGTTGCTGCAGGGGTGACTCACAATTTTCCAAAGGGACTTGATCTTAGCACCCTCCCTCAAGCGCGATGTCAGTGGGAGGAAGGATGAGACTCCTATGGATCCATCTCCAAAAAGTCACCAGACCTTTTCTTCGGGAGGGGTCAATGACCACAAAACCCTCTGCAGGCCCCTTTTCACGTGATTCTTGAGGCGGAATCAAAAAGTCCCATGGCCGGTTTCCCATGCCCCCATATCTCCCTTTTACACACCACCGGGAAATCTCTTCGAAATTAGCCCAGGTGTTGCCTAAAACCACCAAAAGACGTGGGGCTTGATCATAATAAGGTCCTCATGGCGAATTGTTTTTCAAAACCAGAAAAGATACGACTTTACCACTCAAAGGGAAAGTTACCCATGGTCATTTGGGGGCCGAACGGAATGTTGAACTGACTTTTTTGAAGGGACCCACCAAAATGGTGATTGTCATGTTGACGTCCCCTAAAAGCCGCCAAACAAGGGGTACCCTCAAAGGAAGCACCCAAAAAACCCAACGAAACCTGAAACGTCATCTGAGTTGTTCCTGGATCGTTGTGGTTAAACCCGGCCTCGCCCTCCAAGTGCGTGGCGGCGGCACCTCGGGTGACGGTGATCTGGCCATGGGACCTCCAATCAACATCCCGTGTACAGGTGGATGGACCCCCTTTAGAGGATTGATGGAGGATCTATATGGGCACTCATGGGGAGTCCATTTTTTTCGGGGGGTTTCCTGTCAACCCCAAATGTGTTTTTTTGCCGGGTTTCCCTTCAACCCCAAAGGGGTGTGTTTCCTTTTCCTCCAAGGCACTTTTGTTTTGTTGTTTTTTAAGTTCATATTTGAGTTCCCAACAGGCCCAACAGGATCTTCTCAGTGTTCGCGGATGATTCGTGGGTCATAGGCGCAGGATGCTTCATGTTATCTGAGAAGATGGCCCACCTGTTTCTGTTTGTGAAAAGTTGGAGCACCTCTTGCCCTGCTTCCATCAATGAAAATGGCCCCGGAAAACGGTTCGAGTGTCTTCCAAAACCCCTCGTCGATTTAGGGGAACGCAAAAACAGTTCGGTTCTAAGATTTGCTTCACAAACTCGAACCATTTTAAGTTTTGCTTCACAAACTCGGCTTTAAGACGACAAGTAGGGAAACCCAAAAATGGCTCGGTTCTAAGATTTGTTCTCTTCACCCAAGCGGGTGCCCTTACAACACAAATTCGGCCCGCGACCCCATTTGTTTAAAGGCTTCAGGTTGAGGGGGCCCCTCATTCCAAAAAACCGGGTCACAAGAGTTCAACAAGACAGACATCCGCTTCTCGTGTGTCACACAAGGGTAGAAACAACGAATAAACTCAACAATGAAACAGACAAACACACTTTTGGTGCACCCAGAAGGAACATTTTAGGACCCACCTTCCCCAAAAAAACAACATTCCCTCTTTGGGGCGCCCACAAAAATATATTCCACATTCCCCTTTTCTGCACCCCAAAAACCGCTCCCGACGGCTCCCCACGGGCTTTCGGCCCCCAGGTCCCCAACGCCAAGCGACTCCTTACCGGACCGGGGCTCCGCGCTCAGAAGGCGCGAGGCCTGCTGCTTCCCCGTGGCCCCGGCGAAGAGCTCCGCATCCTCGCGGGTTTCCGCCGCGGCTTTCCGCCAAGGCTTCGACCAACGAAACGGGCGGGGGGGTTGGGGGGGTGGGGGGTGAGGCCCCCTATCCCAGAAGGGAACTGGTGCCCTGTGGTGGTAGAGGTTGTTGATTTGGTCTGATCTATTCCGGAGAGAGTCCAATATGCCAATATGGATGATTGGAGGATGGATTGTCCCTGGTGGCTTGACTTGACTGATTTTTCTGAAGGCGGTCTCTGCAAGCCTTTGTACTGCTATCGCATGAATGCAACACGCTATATACAAGAGGGCCTTGAGCCAAATGGTTGCAGGAGATCAATGGTGTAACAAACCAAACACAAAACAAACACAAATTTCTTTTGATCTCCAGCACTAGATATGAAATATCGTTGGCTTCATGGCCTTACGTGCCGTAGCCATACTTGAAAGTGTGGGCCGTAGCCATCTATTGTTGCAATGATTCATCCAATTGGCGCGGATGATTTTGTCATGTGAGCAAGATGAAAAACGTGTTGTACTGACTCTGCGCGATACCTAAATGTATCGAAAAGTGATGCACAAAGCTATGTACATGCGGGACGGATGTGAAACTATTGATCTCTCACAGAATAGTCTTGTTGGTGGTGAGGATCAATCTGGTTGTAGTTCGTAGTGCTGGTCGTGTGAGTCTTCTTGGTCAGTCGGATGAGTGCCAAAGGTGGCTCTTTCATCAAGTGATCAGCGGTACCAACGACGGCTGCTGTCAGATTGACTGCCATAGTCTCCATAATCATTCCAGGTCGAATCGCCATAGTCCTTCCAGTGCTTTTGATTGCCCCAGTACTGCTTGTTGTAATCTTTGTATTCCTGCTGAGTCCAGGATTGCTTCTTCTTGAGGCGCTCCTTGGATCTCTCAAAGTTGCGTTGTCTGGCGGCGGATCTGCTGCGGATATATACCATCACCGGACTGTGCGAGTCGGAATCTTGTGAGCCGTTCATGAACATATCGTTGTTCACATGCTTGAAGCGATCCGCGGATGAGACCTGATAGTCGAAAATGGCAGACGTTGGATCGTTCCGCATGGCTTCCAGTTGTTCATCGCTTTTGGCGTTCATCTCTTCCGTCCGGAAAACCTGCTGGATATTCGTTTTGCCCCACCCAAACACGAATGTCATCATCACATTTGGGAATGTTCGATCATACCCTGATCCAGTCTTCATGTACAAGTGATGACGAACAATGGATTTGATGGTGCATGAGGTCTCCATGGCATACTCCATTCTTTCCACGAGTGGAAGATTCTCCGTCTCATTCCACAAACTCTGATAGGCCTTCATGAGGATGTTCATGAGACCATTGGCTGGATTGAAGACGTGCTGGAGTCTGCTGTAGGTATTCGCGGATTTGTTGGCGTCTCCAGTGATCGCGTCGCATTGGTACAATGTTACGAGTGGCAGGATTTCGTTCTGAAAATCTTCCCTTGCTGCTCCATGGCTGATGGAAGGATGAATGTGGAAAACTCCAATGGTAGCAAATGGAAGGTCTGCCCTCGTTACGTGGCGGCTGTCAAACTCGAGACTCGAGGAGTGAATTGTTGGATGATTTTGGGAGCATACCACGATACTCATCACTCTGCTCGATGTGGAGAACGACAATCTCTTTGTTCCGTCCGTGTCCTTGGACGATGGTGCCTGCTGGCAATCTTGGTCCGATGTACTTCTTGGACTCAGTAAACATGGATGTTCCCGTAGTTGCCAAACAGTCCGAGGTCGGAATGTCGTATTCAGGATCAATGCAATTTTCCTCGGTTCCGAAGAAACATCTGAACATCCCGAATGTGGTTCCCCAATACTGACTCTTGGTGGAAATGTGCAATAGTTCCACTCTTGCGGAAGGTCCGCCGCGGACAAAGCATGCAATTGGTCTGGATGACCATTGCTTGATAACGATGCCCTTGTACCCGAATCGGATGAACGTCTTGATGAGTTCTCTGGATTTTTCATCTTGAGGACTGAGGAATGCGTCTGCTTCACTGAGGCATAAGATGTGTGCGCTGTTCTGCATCAGCATCTTCACGATTGGTCGATCCTTCATCGCCATGTTGTGCACCTCCCTGCCATCTAGTGTTGGATTCCTCGTGAGGTTTCCATGGTTCATGGTAAGCATGTTGATCGTCAGGGATGAGGTGTACTCATGCGTCTTGAGATGGTCCACAGGAGGACGGTCGGTCGGCTGCATCAGCGAGCCCAGGATATCGGCAAATGCTCGGATGGTTTCCGGGTCGTCATGTGACCTAAGCTTCTTCAATCCAAGCGGAAGCTTAATAGGATATCCGGATGTTGGCTGTGCATTCCTGTACTCGTCCATGGTTGGACATTCTCCTCGATGGCGGAAGTAAAACTCTTCCTCCCCGAGAATGACATCAGGATCGACGTGTGCCAATGAGGATCTTTCGCATTCTGTCAACTGAGGATGAGCTCTCTTTGGATCCTTGTTATACTTCTCCCTGAAACGGAGGAAGTTCCTTTTGGTTTCCGTGAGCTCCTCATCGGCGTCCTTCTTGTTCATTTCTATTTCGAGGTAGATTCCCTTGAGTTCCTTGATGAACTCGTCTAGGTTCTCGGTATTGCGATACTCCGTTGTGACCTTTGGTTTGACGGATCTCTCCCCAGAGGGTTCCATGTTCTCCTCTTCAACTTCATCTTGATCGGTGGAGCGCCGTCGCTTCTTAGTCTCTGAGGAAGTATCTTTTTCCTTGCTGTACTTATCGGAATTTACATGGCTGAAGAAAGCATCGGCGAATTCCCGGATCTTGGCGTCGTACATTTCAACATCTTCACGACTGAGAAGCTTCTTCATGATCCAGTTGTTGCTCACCATGGAGGTACCGTCAGGTTCATATGCTGCAACAATAATCTTCGCCTCGATGGTCTGATCTGTCAGTGCTGTTCGCTCTTCGGAGAGTCGGATGCCATAGTCCTGGTCCTTGAGGAATGCAAGGATCAACAGTGCATCTCTTCCTGTTGGCACATGTGTGAGTGCTGCTTCTGACTCGTCATCGTCGAGGATAACGTCGTCGATGCATGCCATGTGGACGTGCGTTCTCCCCGTATTGACTGGGATTTTCCAGGTCTGAGCCCGTTCTCCATGATGCTGATGAGTTGATTTCCATAGGTTGCATGGAACATGAAGGTGATGGGCTTCTTCGCGAACGGCTTGATCTTTCTTTCTTCTTCAATGGATGGTGGTGCCGGCCTTCGCATTCTGTATTTTGCCTGAGTGTGCCTTCTAGTTCATGGGGCTTGGAGGAATGGATTCCGTTGGAAGGTCATAGTCCGGTTCTTCTTGGCGAGGCTCACTCTGCTGCTCGTAGTACAGGGGTCGTCCAAAAGATTGGAGATCGACTTGTCGTGTATGACCGCTGTTGCATCTCACATAGAACTCCATGTTGGGATCATTGAGGAATTCCTTGCCATTAGGCCGGAGTGCATCGTATGCGGATCTCGTAGTGAGTTTGTCGATCCATCGGTTTCTTGGAACAATTTCTCCCCTGGCCTTTCGCTCATTGTATGGCCCGTCCACGGATGGATACACGAACGCAATCTCGAAACGTGACTTTCCATAGTTCGGGAACATAGCCATCAAGAGAAGTCCTGGCTTATTCCCAATGAAGTTCCTGGCATGTGTAATGCAGGACAATGCATCGTATAGCTCAACGGATCCATCAGGACCCATGTCCACTTGTCGTTTGCATTCCTTATGGATGCCATGCTTTGGATCATGTTGAAGACATCCGGAAAACAATCTGCTCATTCTCTCAATTCGCCAGAGGATGAGGTCGGTGATCTGTTTTGCCTTGGATGGATCCATGTGGAAGTACTTGCAAACCTGTTCAACATTCTGGACGGTCTTCTCGAGATCAATGAAGTTGTTGTGACATACCATCGGGATGATATCGGTTCCGTAAACTTCTGGCTGAGCATTGGTGTAGCAGCAAATGACATAGACCTTCTTGATGAAGTCCATGTATTGTTTCTCTGCGTGATTGCCATCACCCTGAAGCGTTGGCCGCCAATAGTCGTTGAATCTGGCCTTCAGCCAGAATACCTTGCCTCCATGCGGTCGTTCATGCTCAGGAATGAAGTGGAAGTCCGGATTCAAGTCGAGGATGGTTGAGCACTCCAAGTAGTATTCGTACATTTGAGGAATTTAGAATTCTGGAAAGTTCCTGGGTGTACGGATTCCCTCTGAAACCTGATGTCGGTATCTGATCCATCTGGCGCATGCCACCGGTCGTTGGATGTGAGAGTTGGCCGCATCGCTGGTCGCCTTGGAAGCGCAGGTCGGTCACCAGGATGATTGTCGGATTCTGTCTCCTCATCCAAGATGTTCTTCGGTGCTGGCTTGACCTTCGACACAAGCCTCAATGTTGGTGGAGGTGACTTTGGAATCAGTTTTGGATGTGGCATCGCCTTCGACGTCGGCCTTCCTGCGAGAGGTTGCTCTTCCTCATCTGAATCGTCGTCGTCGTCGTCGGAATCTGGGTCGTAGTCAACCTGTTCCATGTTGACATTCTCTTGTTGTTGAGAGGCGGATGGATTCTCATCGGCGACTTGCTCCATGGGGCAGTCGGATGTCTCATCTTCCTTCAACGGAGATGCCCGTCTCTTCACTAGCGGCTTCGGCACAGGAGCCGTGGTGTTGGATCGTCCGAAGATCATATTAAAACCGGCGTGTCTTCGAGAGGATCGAGCATACACAGTTGCAAAGGTCGGATTGGCTGTAAACCGAAAGTGGCTGCGGATGCAGACACATATTTCTTGAGATTCAAAATGGGTCAAGCGCAACACACGCATCACGGAATTGAGGAATTGAAAATGTGCAAAATGAAAAACTCATGCATCAGAATTCATGGACATGCGGATCATGCCCAGGTTCCCCCATAAGCAAACATGGATTCTGCTACACCGACTCCTGCAAAGGCAACGATGTCGGGTCCGTGCTTCGTATTGTGTGCTAG